GGAGGAAAATAACTGTTAGCTGTGTTGGACTGTCATTAAAAATATACCTCAAATCATATATGTAATCTAATTTAAATGTTTAGGAAAAAATACTAATCTGTACTACAGATGTTAAAATTAATTTTCAAATCACAGGTAGCAATGATAGGTCAGTAGCAAAATGCCTCCAGTGTTTACAAAGCAACAAATCTTCCTGTAACAATGCTAATTATAAGGTGAGAATCTCCAAGACAGAAGCATGACTAGGAAGTACTCTTCCTCACAACCAACCTGACACAAATATTTACTGTGAACTGACAAGACCTGACAATTTTTGGTGTAAGTTTTCATTCTTGTACCAGTAGGATTATCACTCTAGTAAGAAAGGAACAAGTCAAAACTCCACAAATGGAATTTCTACCAACATAAACATTTACATGACCTCCCCTACTTCCCCACACAAAAGAGCCCATTTCTGAACTTGAACTTATCCTGGTATCTTACATTGGTTTTTCAACAAAAATAATTGAACGTGTTAAAAAAGAATAATTTTTTAATGCTCAAGACTCATTTAGATTGTTTTAGCATAATAAAAAGAAAGCACTGAGAAGCCAGTAGAGAGAGAGAGATGGGGAAAACATAGCTGTGACTCGAGAGTAAACTAATGTAGTCCATTAACTAAGGGTTGAAAGGGGCAGCAATGATCAGAAATAGCAATCCAAGGCTACTAATGGACCACCTAGTAAATTTGTGCACCCCATAAAACAAAACTTTTTAAAAAGCCAGAAAGCTTGTCTTACATATATTTCAGTGTTTTTAAAATCCTTGCTTGAATTTTGAAATGGCAAGAAGTGAAATTCATTAAAGGAGAAGGGAGATCTTTATTTATTCAGCGGGAAATACTTGTATTCAAGGAATTTTCCTCCCCTTAAATCAGCGGTGCTAAAAGATCTCGAGGAAGTAATTTCTGAATAGTAACGTGTCTCAATGACTAAGCTAAAAACCTAGGTGTTCTGCTACAATGAATAAATCATGATTTTTTTTTTTAATTTTTAAAATCTTTTCTTTCAAGACTTTTGTAAAGCAGCTTACGTCAATAACTGAAGGTGGTCTGAGACAAAATGCACACACACATACTTGTATACACACTGTGAGACACTCACATGTATACACACAAGAAGAGTCAAATACACACATGTATACACACACAGTGAGACACACACAATGAGACTCTCTCTCTCTCACACACACACACACACACACACACACACGTTTTTTTCTGCTTGGTGCCATTAAGGCTTTTCCAACTCATAGAGATTCTATAGTCAACAGTATAAAACACCGGGAGGTCCAGGACTGTCCTTAGAATCATTATTTTCTTTGAGCCTCTTGTTTCAATATTATTTATTTGAAGTGTCTTCCAACCTGAGGGACTCATCAACATTACATTCAACAAAGATCGTCTGCTATTTATCAGGTATTCCCTGATCGTTTTTTTTTTTTTTCTTTTCAGTTTATCACCAGGTCCTCCTTACTAGTTTGTATTAGACTGGAATTTTGATTGCAAATCTGTTTACCATGGGACATTCCGCTAATATCTGAAACATTAGGGGCATGATGGCCGGTATCAAGCTGTGTGAAAGCCACTACAGTATAACAAACTGAACGAAGAGTGGTGAGGACAGGGACACACACACACACCCACCCACACACACTCTGAGTGCTCTTTTAAACACATGTATTTGATACACATACACATGAAATCCAAAATTTTATGAAGAAAGTCAAGGCTGTGCCACAGAACAGAATTTGACCTGTAACTCGTGCCCCACTGGTATCTCAGTCTGTACATCACTAGTGGGACTTCTTACTTTCTCCCATGTAAATACTGGTGGATTTGAGCCACTAGAGAGGAATAAAGTTATGAGCAAAGGAGTCATCGGAAATAATTTATTCAAAAGAGGAAAATAATCCAAAGCTTGCAGACTGCTAAATATGATTTTACATTGAAAATTCTCCTTTAAAACAACTTGAACTTAGTATTTGGTTCTTTCCAGTAGTAGGCATTAAAACTTTTTTTTCATACCTCTGAGATAAGGAAATTGGGTACAGTGACAGTATGAACCCATTTTGTGGAAGTCTATCCAGGTATTCTTACTGCTACTGTATCCACTTTGAGAGAAAAACTATGCACTAAAAACAAAGTCAACCCCCCTGAGCCCACATATTGGACATTGTACTCTGTAAGGCAGCCAAGAAGACTGCTTGTTCCCCTCTGAGAAGAAATAATTGGAGACATGATTTCAGGGTTTCTGTACAAGGGGAGGGAATGAAGCAATTAGTTGAAATGCTGGGGGCTAAAAGAGTGGGTGCTCTCAACACACTGCCAGCCCCTCACTGTCAACTCCGTCCTAATGAATGCAGTAGAGTGGATCTGCATACGTGCATGCGTGTACCTTTTTTTCTTTTCTATTTTTTTTTTTATTTTAAGGAAAGCTTACAGAGACTTACGGTTTCCAGTCATTCACTGTTGCACTTTTCTCCCCGCTCACTCCCTCCCCCCAATTAACTTTTCTCCTTGATAAATAAAAACTCTTTCATTGTTATGCAATCCCTCCCCCAAAGTCCACTCCACTTGCAGCCTTCATTCTGGACTCCTGTCATGACAATAACACCTAATCATATATCCCTTTTAAACAGTTCTCTCCCTCATCTGTTGCAATGCAGTATACATCATTTCTCCCCTTCTTCTCTGTCTTCCCTCCACCCCAATGTCAGTCCTGTTTTATAATAGCAGTGCAATGCAATATTTGTCCTTTTGTGACTGAGATATTTCACTCAGCATAATGTCCTCTAGGGTCATCCACTTATGCATGCAGGCATGTACTTTAAGCTGTGCTCATGCTGTTGGCAAAGCAAAGGGAGTAATGGTGGTGGCGGAAAGATGAGTATTTCACTTTGCTTAGAACTAAGAAATTCTAACATAAATATCCCAGAAATACAAAATTTCTTACAGTAGGAAAAAGATAATGTGTTACAGCAAGGTAATAGTCTTCATACTGGGTAAACAGCACATCTAACAAAGTGTCTGAAAGAACCATTGGTCAAGAATAATTTATGTTGTTCAGGAAACAAGAATCACTGCTCTCCTTCCCATTATACTACTAATGTGACATGACACGATGTTGGACACAGATAAAGTCTGGCCGACACAGTAAACTCTTGTCCTCACAAGGCCACCATAACAGATGGAAGCCGGTAAGACAAGAGGGTTTTGGATAAGCACAAATAACTGAAAAGTCCTTTGTTTAATTACTGATCTTCACGACTGCTCATTCATTGTCCTGTTGATTATCTTTAACCCATAACTGACTGCCTTAAATATTTTAATTCTTACAGTAACTTGATGGCACAAAACAACAACAAACAACAGTAACTGTAAAGTAGTTACTACTGCTGCAACTTTGCACACAGAAAAACAGAGATCTAAATATATACTAAGTAATTTGCCACATACAGAATAGGGCCAGGATTTCACTTCTAGACAACCTATGCCTCCAGAAATGTCACAGTGGATAGGTCTGGGGTTTAAGTTCTTTACCTATTACATGTTGTTAGGTATTACCGAGTTAACTAAGACTCATTGAGATACAGTGAATGACAGACCTGCATGAACCCTGCCCTAGCTTGCACCGTCCTCACAGTCTCTGTCAAGCTCAAGTTTACTGCTGTCATCACTGTGCCGGGCCACCTCCTTGAGAGTCTTCTTCTCTTTCACTGACCTCTACCTTTCCCAATATGATGTCTTTCTTTAAAGGACTGGCCCTTTCTGATTATAGAAGGACCCACCGCTCATTCGTTAATTGATAATTGGATAAAGAGTTGCTTTAGATGCAGGAAAGGGTTCTATCCCTGGGGAACTAAAGGATTATAGGATTATGGCTATCTGCCAAGCATACTTCTTCCGATAGTATTGTCCTCATCATACTCTATCTGACTTCTGTGTCAGAAAGACACATGGCTGAAATGTCCTTTACCCAGAACTCCCTAACAAGCAAGGGACAAGATCAATGAAAAGCACTTCAAGGCTCTGGCCTGTGTTGTTGTTATCCCAGATTTAGCTAGAATGTGACATTTGTGACAACACAACCCACTGGATATCTGGCATTGCTTGAGAATGGAGACTACGTCCATGTTAAGAGCCAACAGAGGCCAGCTGTAAAAAAATTCTCCAGCCAGAATTTCTCTTAAAAAGCATTACCTGTATTTTTAAACTCCACAGTCAGTAAACTAAAGACAAAGTCTCCTAGGAGGTGAAGATAGTATCAATGCTTAGTCCCACGTCTGTGTTTCCCTAAATGTAATCCACTTACAGCATATGTAAGAGTCCAGTCAAAGCACATTGGTGGAACAACCGTGCACATTTGGCAAAAGGCCTCCCTCAACACGTCCAGCCCTCACTCGGGGTCACCTCCACCCGCAACCCGCACTGTCCAACTCCAGTCCCAACGCACACTGAAAGGGGTATTTACAGATGATTTTTTCAGGTATCAGCCAAATAATGCTTCCCTTCACTCTTTCCCCTACCTTAGACCATACAAAATTTAACATCTGGAAGGGAAAACTCGGCCTCAAAGGCATATGACACGGGTAAGCAGTCATCCGGGAGTTCTCCCAAGCATGGGGATTTGCCAGCTTCCCTCCGAGATCCAGGCCATGAAAGGCCAACTTGTGGGATGTTTGCGTTTCCATCAAGCCTGGTGCTTGCTGGCTGCTGGCGGGCTCTGTGACAGCCCCATGGCCCAACTGTCCAATAAACATCTTCCCTTCTGCTGGGAACAGCTCACTGGCACTGCTTCTGGAAGCTTGGACTTGCGGGTGTGAGTGCCCCAGGCTGAAATGTAAACCAGCACTTGGAGGAGAGCTGACCCCTCGTTTCTCCAGGCCAGTGACTGCTAAGAAAATCCCCACATTCACACAGGCATGACAAGGAGGGGAAGGAAAATGCAGCTTTTGCTCACCATGTGCCACCCAGCCATGTTTGCACTGATCGCAAGTCCTCAGGTTAATCTTCCCCGGCTGGAAACATTCACACGTGCAGTTCACCAGTGTGCAGCGGATGGCCTGGAACACAGAGCAAGAAAACACCATCAGCGTCTGTTCAAAGGAACCAGGCTTTAGGGTGGTTTCTTTTTCCCTTTCAGAATTTTAATACACAACACCCACTTGGCATTCTGCAGAACTTGCATGCCTACAGAGCTTAGGAAAGACCTTCTGATACCATCTGAAACCTCTACCAAAAGAAACAACAAAATCCACTCACTAATATATGTTTTATGTCATTTCAAGTGCAGGCTTTAAATGAGGAACACAGCCCCAGCGGGGCACCCAGAAAGGATTACACATTCTCAGAGATGCTGGGTTTGTAGATGAGGCACCCACAGGAAAAGTAAAAATGTATTTCTGCTAATACGTACTCTCAATTAAGTTTGTACATTTGGTTAATAAGGAAAAAAGAGGTTATTTTCTAATACGGTGTTAAAGTGAAGTGTTTGTGAGAATATGCTGTAAACAGAAATGTAGCATATATACACATAATGACTGGAATATAATTTTTCTACCACTGGATTCTATTTAAATGGTTCATCTTTTAGCAATATTATAAAAGACACCCTCATTGTCTCAATAAGACTCTACCTGTGATTCCTCATTGAAAGACAATTACACTTTAACTATTTGGTAAAATCAAAACTATAATTTTAACAGAAAGCTATTTTTTAACAGTGAAGAAAGTATGGATGCATTTTGCTCCTGGATTTGAAGTAGAACAAAAATGAACATTTATATTCCTATTTTCATTCTAGACCAGTACAACTGTATTTTATAAAACTTGATATAAAAAGACCTTCATCTTCTTGCAAGTACTTTAAAAAAATTATCTCACCAGTTTATATTATAAAGTGAATCCAGAGGAAATTAGCATAAATGGAGTGTAACTTTTTATGTATAAAACCTGTGCTTGAGAATCTCAGCAAGGCTGACCTATGATCTTAGACTGCAGTTAATAAATTTATCTCATACATTTGTATCTAATTTGCATGGAAATTCTGAAGTCAGGAGGATTTAGTCCAATCATTTACAGATTAACAATCTACTGTAACCACCTGAACTGCCAGGAAAAGACCTCTGTCCAGATTTAGAAGAATCAATTTTTACTGATATGGGGTGGGGAAGGTGACCACTGAGATGCTTGAAAATGCACTCTAGGCGTGACAACTCTATTCACACAAGCCTAGATTTCTCCTATTCCTAGAACTACTTGTACTTTTATCTAAACTGTATTATTAGCAGTAGTATAGATGATATAAACAAGTTATGAAAAAAACAAAATGAAATAGTTAGGACAGGGCTTTTTCTATTTACTATCTTCTGGATCAGATTTTATTTTCTTGTTTATTTTCTTGTTCATTAATTAACACTGCATCCCGGGTCAATATTCCATTTCAGATGCATGGATTCGTGCTAGTGAATTCTCCTTCTTCACTTACCTCATCCCTAATTGGATCTTTTACCCCTAGGTTAATTCATAACTTCATAATTTGCCTAACATTTCAAGGTCTTTCCTTCTAATATCATCAGTCTAACTACATAAAATATTCTTATATATCAGTAATTAAAGGAATTAATAATCAGGTAAAGACACTACAAGAAATGTAGACTAAGAAAAAAAAAGAAATGCAGAATAAGCAAGAATAATATGTAAGGTGTAAGTAGACATATTTTGCCCAAAAGTTATTCTATTTCAATAGCCAATTGACTGATACATTGATATAGCTATCTCTCTCTCTCTCTCTCTCTCTCTCTATCTATCTATCTATAGTATCTCCCAGATGAGTAATCAGTTCTTTAAATAAAATGTCAATTAATGAATTTTCAATTTAAGTGGAATATAACAAAAATAATTTAAACATTGTTTCTACTAAATAATGAGGCACTTTATACATACTCATGCAGATTTACTACTTGTATCTAAATACTTAATTTTTTTACATCAAATGTTTTATTTATTCAAACGTACATGGTAATTATATAAATATTAAAGTTGGGGGAAAAAAAGACTTTCAGGACTATTTTCAAAATATCATCCCAGCTTTAAAAATTAAACTCTGAATAATGAAAAGAGATGATCTTTCAAAAAATGTATTTATTACTAACATAATATATGGGTATACTTGAACGCATTAATTTTGTAACATTTAATAATTTTATACAAATAATTTATTTTTTGCATTGCATTTAGAGCATATTTTCACCAACTTTAATTATAGCTATGTTCAACGATCAGAATAAATTAAGATATTTGCTTTGCTTAATATGTAGCAATTTGTTCACTGGTGAGATCATTTGTTCGACCACTCTAAACTTGTTACAGTCAAATAATTCTTAAAACAAAGCATGTGAATAAACAATAAAACAGAAAACTTTAAAAATGCACTTGCCATAAAAACTCTAAATAACGAACAAACAAAAACCACTTTTCTCTTCCTAAATAACTTTATACATCTGGTATGTTTGGAAATTATACTTTTTAGACCATTTTTCATAAATCCTACTCTATTTGTACCAACAGACAAACATTCAAACACCTCAACTACTTTTGTATATAAACATTTAAGCACTGGAATACCAATTTTGTATTTCTATGAATTCCAGAAGGTCTATTTGTTTTTAAATTCAGATTTATATAGACTACAATTGTTCCTTAAGGGAATTTATATATTTAAACAATATGGTCTAAATAAATATTTTGAGTGAGAGACTATTGTGGCTTCAAAGGAAGTTTTATTCTAAATAACATTTTTGAAACAGCATAAAACTTTGACATCCTATTTATTCACAACAAAATAAAACCAATGTGATCAGTTGCCAACTCAGCCACATTTTAAAAAAATAAATTATCATAAAACTATCAAAGTCTGTTAAGCCTCAAAAACACACGTGCTTTACCAAGAGACAGTTGGGAAGAGCAGAAACAAATATGTTTTCGTTTTAGTCAGTTCATTCACTTCTGTCTTCATTCAACAAATGTCTGAATGTCTCACACTCTCTGCTAAGTACTCCAAACCACCCAACTGTATTTATTACATACTCGAAACTATAGGCAATTCGGAATCAAAGAGCAAAGGCTTAATAAATTTTATTGATGAAAACGCGAATAAAAAAACTTGAAAAGGAATCATGCCATTAAGTATGTAGAGAGCAAACTTGGTCTCATACTGTTCCTGAAGGTTAAAATGAAGCCGCAGAAAGAAGATACCAGGACTAGACACTGTTTCAGTTACATTGTTCCAACCCACGTTTGCAGAGATCACTAAGCCAATTTATCCTCTCATTTAAGAAAGTAACTAACAGGACAAGTCTTGTTGGATTCTATCTCATCAATAGTCCATATACACTCTTTTCCTCATTCTAACCCAAACGACTCTATTCCAACTGGCTCCTCCAAAGCAGTATCAAATTTTCTTAAGTCTTCAATAGAAAAAAGTGAATGGAGAAGACATAGAACCAGAATGCTCCTTAAATGCGAGAATCATGAAGAGTCATCTTGCTTGCTGTGGACCCATCAAGAGAAAAGATGGACGAGGGAAGGATACACACACAGGTCCTCAGCCTCGAGCACTGCTGTCAAGTTGGTTCTGAATCACACCACCCCTCCCTCAGAGGTCACAGTTCACCTGGTCTCCTGGGGGAAACGAGACTGTCCATCTTTCTCCTGGGGAACTGCTGGTGGATTTGAACCCCAGAAGACATGAGACCTTTCCCCCAATTTCCTACAGATTCTGTTTGTTTGCTGATTATTGTACAAGATGAGTAAAAACAACGAAGTCTTTGATGAGATGGACTGAAACAACAGCTTCCACAATGGGCTTACACATATATAAAAATGCTAAAGATGGTACAGAAACAGTGTTTCATTAATATACAAGTTTTCCCTACCATCCAAAAGTAGACCATTCTTCTAAAACCTTCTGTAATCTCAAATGGCCTAATGCAAAGGGGAAATTAGCATTAATTTGCATGGGGAAATTTTTTGCCCATTCTCAGGACCAAAAAAAAATCTACCAAATCCTATTAAATAATCCTTAAAATTCAAAATAATACTAACGCACAGAGTTCAGAGACACGGTTCAAAGTTATGACGGCTGGATGCGGAGCTGAGGTTCCTAGGCATGGAGCCTCCAGTGCCGCTCTCAAGGTGAAGAGACTCACTACCTCCTTAATAACTTGTGGAAAACAAAGACAACGAAGGCCAGTTGACATTTTGAGTCTTTTGGTCCATAAAAGTAAAAACCCACTCCGGATTTCTGTTAGGTAACGAAGTGGGTCTTCCATAAACTAAACTTTATAAAAGTGGGAGACAGCGCTCTATACATAAAATCACCATGTGTTGGCAGCAACTCCAGGGCAACTAACAGCTTTTTAAAGAGGTATTATCCTTCCTGTTATCTTAACCATGGAGTTTTTAATTGAAAATAAAACTTTTATTTTATACTGGTTTATGTACAAAATAAGATCCTTCCCACTTCCTTTACCCACCCCTCACCGCCCCCCATCATACTGTGTGAACCAATGATTAACCGAACCTCCAACCCCACCTTCAATCCTCACTTCTCTGCTCTTACCCTCACGCATGCCTTGAATCCTCATACGTGTTCTTCAACAATGATCTTATACAGTATTTGTCCTTATGGGATTGAGTTCGTTCACTCAGCTTAATGTTCTCCAGTCCCTCTCAACTTAGGTAGTAATTTACAAAATTATTGCTCCGAACTGCTGTTAACCAAGGATTTCTGAAGGAGAAATCCAAAGCCCCAGACTCAGTTTCTACTTCCTCACCACCACTTATAAAATGCCATCTGCATTCCATGTTGTTATGTGCCGTGGAGTTACCTGCGACTCATAGCGACCCTGTGTACAACAGCCCTAAAACCTGCTCTATCCTGTGCCAATCGCACTGTATCCAACACACCTACCCAGTCACTGAGTCAATTAATCTCATGAAAGGTCTTCCTCTCCAGAGCTGTCCCTCCACCCTCCTAAGCATAATGTTCTTCTCTAAGGAC